CCCAAACTGTCACAAAGGAGCAACAAAAACACTGTCCCCCCCCCCCCCTAAAAAAAGCCAAACAACAAAGAATAAGAAAAAATGTAACAATTGGCGCTCATATTATGACCTTATGCAGTTGCGAGAGCCGTAAAACCTCTACTAAAATTAAAAACAAAGTAATAATAGATAGCATTTGTATAGCACAAATCTTCTCTCAACAGCAGGCTCTATCCGCTTCACAATCTATACTATTACCCCAGCAGACCTGAGAGCATTCTGAAACAACCTCAACGTCCTGGGAGGCATTCAGTGCAAGCAGCCATTTATAGGCGCTAAAACACTAACATACTGACAAGATCTTTCGCTTTCTAGGGTCGGGTACCCATTCCCCCCTGGTTGAAGTGAGGAAGATTCGTGTAAAGTGCCTTTCCCAAGGACACAACGTCGGGCCCACTGCTCGAACCTCCGACCCCGCAGCCTCACGATTACGATTCCGGTAGCTTAACCACTAGGCCACCGACGCCACAAGTAACAAACAAAATTCTTAGGTCGTTGTACCGGTAGCTGATCTTTATTTATTTGACACATAAACATACTTTTTCTATTCGTCAGCAGACACACTTACACATACCACATTCTTCAATATTATCACTCTCCAATTGCATGTATAATACATGTATTTACATTCTTAAATCGCGTTCACCATACAACACAATATTCATTCTAGCACAATTCACACCTCTTCCAAACCCCACCACCCTTACCCAAACCCTTTACCTGTTACTTTCTCAACTTCATATCATCTTATCATCATCATTATTATATTGATTTTTGTTTGTTTGCCGTTGTAATTTTCAATTCATTTGTTTTTTACACTTTGAGATCATTTAATGTTCCACATCTTATACTGATATCTCAACAAAGTACAATATGGGAGGGCTTGCAACTAATAACAATGTGACAAAATATATGTAGCTGGTCAACAAATAACATAAAAATGTATGGCTTTTAGAATAGTATCACGGTGTCAGTATTAATTTGTGTAGGCAAATATTTAGTGTCAGAGCAAAGAGTAAGTGTATATTGTGGTTAACTTAACGCCCCTACCAAAACTATGAGGTCGTATAAGATGCTGGGTCAAGACTTTGGAACTAGGTGCTGCATAAAAATGACAAATAAAGAGTGATCCAGTAGTTTATTTTTCGATTTTGGTACCTTAAATATAATTCAGTAGTTTATTTGCCGATGTTGATAAGTTTGATTAAGTAGTTTATTTGCCGATGTTGGTAAGTTTAGATTGATTCAGTAATTTATTTTCCGATGTTGATATGTTTGATTTAGTAGTTTATTTGCCGATGTTAGTCCTGAGCCAGAAGCCGACTCTGATTGGGATGAGCACGTGATCAATCTTGTGGACGACGCCGTTGGTAGCCTTGAGGTCGGCGGCGATCACTTTGCCGTTGTTGATGGTCACACCGCTGCCTGGGAGAGTGGACACGAGATTTCATAAGGATAAATATGTGAGGTGTCGTGGTGAAATCAAGCGCTCGTCAAAATAATGAAATCGAAGTGACAGGCATTTTTCCTCCATTTTGCAATTTTTAAAATATAATTTTTTGGGGTTTTTTTTGCTCTGCTCCTTTTCTGTTCATATAATAGTACATTTCCATGTGAATTTTACTGAAAAACGATGATTAAAGGCACAAAATATGTACTTTTCCGTTTTTAAGGACTCTCAAGCCATCGAACTTATCCAACTTTTGAAGCCATCTTCTCGCTAATTTCTTTCATAAACAAGGTGACCCCTGCCTTCTTCAATGGCATAGATGTCAACTTCTTTTCAAGATAGATGGGTATTTTTGTCACCGAAAGCAAGGCAGATGAATACACTTCCAGATGATACCAAAAACTCCAAATGCCAAAAAATTGACAAGCGCCAGATTCAACCACGTCGTGATACATATAGCATTAATTTGGAATAGCGTAGAATATGGTCCCTTTTATAACTTTTAAGCACAAAGGTGTTTGGGGGGGGGGGGGTTCCATCCGGAAAAATGCTGTTCTGAGACAATCAAAGGTAAAATTTCTTCTCTTTGTACAGTTTCTTTAAAAGACAAGGAGAGTTTTCTCTATAACCAAACAAATATAATACACACCAATGAAACCAAACTTATTCTATCCTATAGATACGGCAATGCCCACTTTTGGTGTAGGTCAAGATTTCTGTAAACCCCCGAAATCTGGATCAGCCGGCTTGTCTTTAAAAGCGACCAATGTATACCCCCTTAACAGCAAGATTTCTGCGCTCTACACTATGTTATTATTGCCCCAGAAGACCATAGAACACCCAAAAACATTCTCAGCTTCTCAAACGCATACGACGGTGCAATCTGCTGGTTAAGCGCTCAAACACTAACAAAATGACAAGATAATTCACTTCTTATAGCTGGGTACCCATTCCCACCAGGTTGAAGTAAGGAAAATTCGTGTAAAGTTCCTTTCCCTCGGACACAGTGTCGGGCCCCTGATGGGATTCAAACCTATGACCTTACGGTGGTGAGTCTTGGAGCCTAACCACTAGGCCACCGACAACCTTTTTTTGGTGTGAGACGTACATTCTAGCTGGTCATATTCCAAGTTTGTATTATTAATACATTGCAATTATTGTGTAAATCAACGAAATACAATTTACTTTATCTTTTTCGTTTTCTTTCCTTTTGAGAACCGGGCATAATTCAGACTTGGGTTGGTTGGTTTTGTTGACAGCTTTAGCGTTTTCCATGTTGTTGTTGCTTGTGCTGTTGGCATTGTTGCTGAGAGAGAACGAGAGAAAGAGACAGAGAGAGAGAGAGAGAGAGAGAGAGAGAGAGAGAGAGGGAGAGAGAGAGAAAGATAGAGAGAGAAGGGTCTTTGTGTGTGTGTGTGTGTGTGT